AACAATACGACGAATTGTATTATGTCTATTATAGCAATTTAATAAAGGTTATTACATGTCTTAAAACAGTCGAAAAACAACCAAACTAGAATCTCAACATGCTGTCTCAATCTCTCTGTTACTGCGCATGTACGCTACAGGTAGCCCATACCTTACACTATCCTCCCTTTAGATAAAACTAGGTTCCACAGTTTTTAAAAGTTCATATCATAGTTAACAAACCATTCTGGAGGTCTTCGTTCTCGCTGTGGTCTCTCATTGTCGTTAGTTGGTTCAGGTTGCTCAGCCAGATTATCATTATCTTGTTCTGCGTCTTCAATTGGAGCGGCAACATCTGGACCTTCAATGACTACAACAGCTGCATCATCAGTTTCTGGCGAGTCGCTCAACTCTTCCTCTGGAACCACGGTTTTATTATCCGCCGTGTCAGGTTCTCGGACGTCATGAAACCGTTTCAATTGATTGTGATGGACAACTCGTCTCTTGACGCTAACTTTCTCGCTTCCTTCGTACTTTATCCGGTACACAACTTCTCCCAGTCGTTTGATTATTCTCCACGGTCCTGTCCAAGGTCTGTTTAACTTCATGCACCTTCCTCGTCTGGTTTTCCTATCAAGCCACAACACTAGATCTCCTCCTGCCTTGTAAACGTTGGCCCTTGCCCATCGATCATAGAAATGTTTCTGTGTTTTGTGTGCAGAGTGAAGAATGTCATTCGCGATTTGAAACGCTTTTGATAGTCTGTTCTTTAGCTGTTGAGCATAGTCTGTGTGTGATACGACACGTCTCTCATTTTCACCTGGCTCCACAAGGTCGTTCGGCAACCGAAGCTCCCTTCCAAACTCTAAATAACTTGGCGTAAATCCGGTGCTGCTATGTACCGCAGTGTTGTACGCAAAACATGACGAAGATACGTATAAGTCCCAGTTTCTTTGGTAATCTGCAACTACTTTTGCTAACATGTTGTTCACCGTGCGGATACTTCTCTCCGAAGCGCCATCTGATTGGGGATGGAATGGTGTAGTGCGCGTATTCCAAACTTCCAGGAATTTACAGACTTCTTTAATCATTTTTGCCGATAGGTTCTTTCCCTGATCATGGTGAAGTTGCTCTGGGGCGCCATGTCTTGGAATCCACCCATCAAACACCTTTTTTGCCACAGTTTCTGCTTTCTGATTCCTTAGGGGGAACACTTCCAACCATTTCGTAAAATGGTCAATCATTACGAGGCAGTAGCGATATCCCCGAGGACTTAATGGATATTCTACGATGTCCATAGTTACAAGTTCTCCTGGTCGCCGTGTCGTAATTGGTTGTAGTGGTGCTCTGTTTGCTGGAACTGGATTTCGTCTTTGTTGGCAGACTCTACACTTCTTGCACCACTCGTCCACTTGAGAAGACATTTTTGGCCAAAAATACCTTTCCTGCGACCGCTTTAATGTTTTTGAATAACCAAAATGTCCTTGGTCATCATGCATCATCTTCAAAACTCTGGAGGTCAACTTTTGGGGAACTATGATATGCACTTTTTCGTCTTTGCTTTTACGGCGAAGCACTCCATCATTTCCAATGAAACAGAATGGTAGTTCTTTTGCAAGAGCTGCGAGTTCCTTGTTCGACGTTTTCAATGTCGTTTTTGATTCTAAACAATACTTGATCTGACTAAGTGTTGGACACTCCTCCTGTTGTTGACGTACATATTCAAGAGACCAGTCCTCTTCGCTTTCTATTTCCACAAATCTGATCCTGCTTAAAGCGTCGGCGACTGTGTTTTTAGTTCCTGCAATGTGCTTTACTGTGTACTGGAACTCTTATATTTTATCGACCCAACGCCATAGCCGACCACTGTGTTCTTTAGTCCGCGTCAAAAGCCATTTCAGTGACTGATGATCCGTATACAAATCAAACTCTCTGGCTAACAAATATGGGCGATACGCTTTGAAAGCTTCGATGACTGCTAAACATTCCTTTTCTGTGACGGAATAGTTTGTTTCAGCTTTCGTTAGTTTTCTGCCTCCGAAAGCTACTGGTCTTCGTTGTCCTGACTTGTCGTCTTGTTCTAAGTAGTACCCTACTGCATAGTCAGAGGCGTCGCAGGTCACTGAAAACCGGGCGAATCGATCTGGTAACTTTAACGTTACGGACGAGCATAGACTTTCTTTCAATTCTTCGAATGCACATTGGCACTCGCGTGTCCACATAAATTCTGACTTGTTTAACAAGTTGTGTAGTGGTACCGCCACGTTTGCGAAATCCTTTACAAATCGTCTCCAGAACGTGCAAACTCCTAAAAACCGGCGAAGTTCTGTTTCATTCTTGGGGGCGTTCCAATTGCGAATAATTTCCAATTTCTCAGGAAGTGGTCGCACTCCTGACTTAATTGTCAATAACGTGTCCCAGAAACTTTACAGAACTGGTAGCAAACTGACACTTTTTACCTGACAGTTTAAATCCTGAATCCCTGATCATCTGAAACAATCTGGAAATTCCTTCTAAATGTTCTGCAAAGGTAGGATGAAAACAAATCACATCGTCCAAATATGCCATTATGTCCTCCGTGTGTAATACCTGTACCATATCTTCTATCACTGATTGAAAGGTCCCTGGTGCACCTGCAAGTCCAAACGGCATTCTGCAATACTGGTATAGTCCATATGGTGATGTAAAAGCTGTCTTGTCTTTGTCCTCATCTGCAATCTCCACTTGATAGTATCCTGAGGTCATATCTATAGAGGTGAAAAATGAAGCCCCTGCTAAACGGTCCAGTGTCTCGGTAATGTTAGGCAAGGGGTAACTGGTTACAGCTGTAACTTCATTTAGTTTTCTATAATCCACACACATTCTTAGATCTCCTGAAGGTTTTCGCACAAGGACTAATGGACTAGCCCATTCTGATGATGATTTCTCAATGACACCATCATTAAGCATTGTTTTCAGATCATTTCTTACTTCCTCTCGATATCCAAATGGGATTCGTCTTAAAGGCTGTTTGACCGGGACAGCCTCTTATGGCGTCATATTTCCGCCAAAATTAAAGATCGTATTTGCAACATTATAGTTCGTATTCGCAATATTATAGTTCGTATTCGCAACATCATAGTTTGTATTCGCAACTATAGTTCGTATTCGCAACATTATAGTTCGTATTCGCAACATTATAGTTCGTATTCGCAACATTATTGTTCGTATTCCCAACATTATAGTTCGTATTCGCAACATTATAGTTCGTATTCGCAACATTATAATTCGTACTCGCAACATTATAGTTCGTATTCGCAACATTATAGTTCGTATTCGCAACATTATAGTTCCTATTCGCAACATTATAGTTCATATTCGCAACATTATAGTTCGTATTCCCAACATTATAGTTCGTATTCCCAACATTATAGTTCGTATTCGCAAGTTGAATTTTGGCGGATGAAGGTGTCAAATCTCCGCCAAAATTCAAGTTTGTAAATTAAAGTTCATATTTGGAAAAATTCGCTACAAGTGGAAACACTGAAAAGCAACAGTGCTTGGGGCTTGGATTCTCTCATCCAGCTGCGATTTTATACTGTTATCTTTTGGCAATTTGCCTATTAAAAATGAATCAAGACGATATAAATACGGCGAGGGAAGCGCTTTTGCAGGTGGCAGATTGCCTATACGTGTGATTTTAGGCTCCAGTTACACGATACCGGATTCGCATCTTACAACTTTTCATATTTGAAGTTTTTGACTAATTCTGTTATATTATCTACCCGAGATTCTAGCCTGCGAACAGGCTCTCAAGCTGAATTGAGAGCCTGCATCGATGACTAATGAATTTGAATATCTGCGTCTCAAATCGCGACGCGAAATTCTCATTGGTCAGATGCTATAATTTATATGTTTCCGCTGAGCTCTATATATGTCAACT